TCAGCTTATCACTTTTTAATATCAAGCAACTGAATTTCCTTAAAAATTTCTTTCAAGTCACACAATTCTTACTCAAAAGACACATATAAAGCCTATAGTATGCATAGGGACTTTATGGAAAGGCAGGAAAGAGTAACCTGCCAGTGGAGAGAGGTGACAACCATGACCTCAGCCAGGGGATCAGGTTGAGGTCAACAGTGACAGGTCATATTATCATTGATTACCCTCGACACTTCACCTCTTGGTCTTCCTCCCCAGAACACATAGATCCAGTCTAATCTCAAGAAAAACATACAACCTCCAATTGAGGGACATTCTACAAAATATCACTCCAGTACGCCTTTGAACTGTCAGGGTTGTTAAAAACAAAGAAAGTCTGAGAAAATGTCACAACCAAGGGGTACCTAAGAAGACATGATGACCCAATGTCATATGGTATTCTAGATGGGCTCTTGGAACAGAAAAAGATCATTAGGGAAAAACTAAGACGATCTGAGTAAAATGTGGGCTCAAGTTAATAACAAGGTATCAGAATTGGTTCAATAATTGTAATAAATGCACCATACTATCGAGATCTTAATAATATGGAAAACTGTAAGATAAATGAGACTCTCTACTATCTTCACAATCTTTCTGTAGATCTAAAACTGTGCTAAAAAGTGAGATTTATTTTTAAAAACTTAGAAATTAATTTTCCCCAATCATTTAAGTATTGACTAAAAATGCTAACATTTCTAAACATTTTTAAAAACCCATAAGCCCAATGTCATAGATTCTCTTTAATGCTCACAAGTCAAAAAGCAAATAAAACTATATAGAATAAAATGATGAAAACTGCTGGGTGACCTCACCAGGTAACTGATTAACATGGTTAACACATCCAGTTGAGAGACTAGCTGTGCAAACCAACTCTCCCCTACTAAACACCACAGCAGAGGGACAACATGAAAAAGAACTCTGAGCAAAGGCATCAGGACAGGGAGGGGCTTAGGTTCCAAGGTCCTGAGAAAAGCAGAAATAGGTGAGGGGCACAGGCAGCATGGTTCCCCACATAAGGTATCACCTACTCCCACTAGCAGCAACCAGAAGACTGAGAAGCTGAGCAGAACTCTCAGCAGCAGGAGGCACTATGGGACCAAACACGCACACCAGGAAATACCAAAAAGAAATGTAAAAATGATCTCTCAGTATGAGCAAGCTAGAAATACACCAGAATTTACAGAACTTACTCAACATCAATCAGCTTGCTTTCTGAATGAATTCAGGTGATCTGCCCTACCTTCCATGCCTTCCAGAAGATGGTAAAGTGAATCCTTCTCAGGAATGACATATCAGTATCCAAAGTCTCAAGTCATCTTTACAATCTTCAAAAATAATGACCATCACTTGAAAACAACAACAAAACATCAACTACTAGGTATATCAAAAACCAAGATAAAATGACAAAAAACAAAAGGGTAAGAGATCAGACAACTTAAACAGACTTTAAAAAGACACAGATGTCGTAATTATCAGATAACTTTAACTGTGATTAATATGTTTAAGAAATCAGACGATTTCTTAAATAATTTTAGTAGAGAACTTGAAATTATAAAATGGAAATTTTAGAATCAAAAAGACTATGATTAATTAAAAACTCTATTACAGGAAATGTAAGTCTAACAACAGGCTCGAAAGAGCTGAAAATATAATTAGTAAGTTGGAAGACAGTTTAGAAAAACAAATCTAGGTTAAAGCATGCTGAGAAAACGTAATACAGAAAGGAGCACAAAAGACATAAAGAACAAGGTGAAAGGTCCAGCACACGATTAACTGCAAACCATGAAGAGAATAGAGAGAAAATGTGGTAAGAGGAATACTGACAGCAAATACCAGCCAAAGGTTAAGAATCCCAAGTAAAGTAAGTATAGATACACATGCACACCCACTTGCACAAATGCACACCCTACAGAGTATAAACACTCAAAATCAATTTTAAAAAATCTCCAAAAAAGAAAAAAAACTCTTCCAGAGAAAAAAGAAACATTATCTTCAAAAAGGAACAGCAAACTTCTCATTAGAAACATGAACACCAGAAAAATAAAATATTGTACCGAAAGAAAAAAATTGGCAATTTAAAATACCCAATGAAAATCCTTCAAGAATTACGACAGTCTTCCTTTCATCTAAGTTCAGTCAGAAAGTCATTCTGTAGGGCTGGATAAGGTTTGCTTCTACATGAGTGGGATGGAGGACACTGACAGGGCTCAGGGAAGCAGAGGCAGTTAAGATAGGAGTTACACGCCGGGGCATTAATCCGACAGGTGAATACTGACATATTAGGAGCCAGGTTTCTCACTATTTCAGAAGGATATGAACAGGACACTAGAATGTATCTTTCTGTATTACACTAAAACTGGTGTAAATTCATGGTTTCCACTATATACAGAGAAAGAGAAGTATCGATGTAAATGAATAAATAGGAATCTGAGAGTCCATAGTGGACAAATGAATACATAAATAGGGAAAAGAGAAAATATGTGCTCATAGTAGGATACTAATATTGTAGAACAAATGATAGAATTAGGAAAATTACAATTCAGCAACCATCTGAATAATTCATTTAGCCAAGAATCAATGGATGCTAAAACTATTGAGTGAAGTTTGATGAAGTAGACAACACTTACATATTCTCAAATTATGAAGAGTAAAAGAGTAACTTTCAAGACACTACCTTAATCAAGCAATCAAAGGTAACCCAGGCAGTGATGGGACAAATGGGAATCACAAACTACCTGATAAGATACAATGAGTTCTCAAGAAAAAGTCCTACAGTCTAAATCTAATCATGGGGAAAGAGCCAACAAAACAAGACTGAGGGACATTAGGCAAAGTGACCGTCCTGTAATCTTCAAAAGTGTCAAGCCCTTAAATGTATCAGTTACTGTATTAAATATGAATAAATACATACGCCAAACATTCAGACTGACAAAAGTGGTTTAAAAATAACTGTTTGCAGGATACAAGGATACTCAAATTACATACAGAAAGGTTGAAATGAAAAGACTTGGAAAAAGCTACACTATGCAAATACTGACCAAAAACAGTTTTACATGATATGTAAATGTTGAATAAAGTGAACTTTAAGGTAAAAACCATTACTAAAGAGGAAAAGTTTTGTAATGTATAAAAGGGTAACTCTACCAACATAATGATTCTAAATTTGTACACATCTAATAATGCAGTATCAAAACATAAATAAAACAAAATCTGACAGAAATAAAAGGAGGCACAAATCTATAAAGAGTAGCAGATTTTTAATACCCCTCTTGCAGCAAAGAAAAGACTTCAGGTCAAGGACCTATACCAGGGTTGTTCAACTTTTTGGCTTCCCTGGGCTGCATCAAGTAAAGAGGAATTATCTTGGGCCACACATAAATTATGTAACATAGCTAGTGTATATAATAATAAGATTTCTTTTAAAAATATTCTTTTTATTATAAAGTTTAGAAAAATGAGAATATAAAACTAGTGGAAAAATTTGACCATGTTTTTGTAAACTAATCTATCAATGTCTGGTTCCATGGAAGGTCACAATTCTTACTGAATTCTCAAGGTGCTCATCAGAAATGTTTGTTTGAATTTTGCTCTTCGTGTGCTTCATAAATGAGAACAGTTGCTCACAAAAGTATGTGCTACCAAAAAGCAATGTCATGAATAAGGCATGATTGTGAACTTGGTGCTTGGGGCCACAAAGAAAATAAATGCAAAAAAGCACATGATGCTAAAAGATTTTGTCGGACTGCATTATTAGTTGTCCTGCCTGTGGGCTGTGGGTTGGACATGCCTGATCTATACCATCAGCCTTGCATTTAAACATGATTGTTTCTGCCTTACAGGGGAAGAGCTAGGGGCAGATACTGGACTCCAGAAGACCAGAGAGGTAGCTGTTACAAGAGTTCAGGTGGGATGAGGGCAGCCTGAATGACAACATGAAGAAGAAGAAATGAAGACACTTGTGAGACAGACTCAACAGGACCCGAGTCAGGACTCTCTCCCTTCATGTTTTCTATGTTTCCCCAAGTTTTTACACTGAATAAAATCACTTTCAAACAACCCAAATCACATACTTCAAAAAAAGTGCTAAGTACCTCAAGCAAGAAAGAAAGCAATGGGATATACTTAGACATCCAATTGGCATTTCAGGCAATTTAGAAGCATCCACTCAGAGAATGAGAGTAATGCAAAAATATTTAATTCAGATTTTAATTCAACTATATGTTAGGGTATAGCTTGGAGTTCTGATTTAAATACTATTATTTCACATATTTATCAATAACAAATCACAACCACAGCTGGCATGAAAACGGATCATGTCCTTATTCCACTGCCATCAGGATTCTCAGAACAGACCATGACTCACCTGCTGGTTCCCAAACAGAACTTATACATGCTCCCTAACTTAAAAGAATCCTGCTGGAAATTATTCTCCATACCATCTTGAGAACAAACAAATTACTAAGAAGGTACGAAAATTAGATAAGAAGATCAGTATAACAGTTGCCCCTACCAACTTCTGTCCTCACTGTCTGTCCCCTTCTCTGCCCTTCCTCCCTATGCCCTCCCACGTGGCCTGAGGGCCTTCTGCAGAAATAGAAGCCTCATTATTTATAGATGTACCATAAAGAGTAAGATAATACCAGAAGTCAAGTGTTACAGTAAGGAAACTGAGATAACAGAGGGTTCTTATATCAAGATAACGATATGTCTGCTGAGGAACTCCTCTACTGGTGGTACTAAGGTACTGCCATTTGAGACCTCACCAGCTTTACACACAGAAATAAGGGGAAAAGGGAGAATAATTTCAATAAAAAAGAAGCTCCTTCACTAAAACAAACAAACAAAGCACAGTAACAAGAAAATCCATGTTTAGATAAGTGATTGAATTGTCCCCAGCTGCTGCAGACCCACCTGCTGCAGACCCACCTGCCAGTCAGCAAGCTACATTTCCATGGTCTTACCTTTCCAAATTCACGGAAGACACGATCACTCTGATGAGCTCCAATTGTGATTTCTGGGAGATAGATGGGGATGGTTGTGTAATTCAGCACATCCAACTTATCCTGAACCCTAAAGAAATAAGACAAATAGACAAATATATCAAAACCATCAATATATTAAGCTTTGGTCTGATTTTTTTTAAATCTGTATTTAAAAAATACATTCAGATAAATGCTGTTGTTGCCAAGTAGTCATCTCAGAAGCAAAACCTTCATCTCAAAGAACATTTGGTCTATTTAGGACTGCTTTTTTGAAATTGCTTTCAGAACTGAAGGCAAAGTCCTTTAAAAGCCTCAGTGTCTACATATTAACCTTTTGGAAGTGGATCAGTTTTGGAAACATAGAAAAGGAATCAAAGTATGCCTTAAACATAGGAATATCAGGAATAAAAAGCTATAAACAAATGGCTATATGACAGTGCTATGTATATAGTATGTCTGCATTAAAAATCTGCAAGATTAATGAACCTTGAAAAAAAGAACAGCCAGCAAGTCATTTATATTCCTTTAGGGTTACAAGCTAATATCTTGCTGCTCTGTTTTGAATGCTGAAGCCCACTTAGGATGTTCTCTTATGCCATGGCTTATAAAAGGTCTAATTCTCTACTTTTCTTAGCACCATAAATAGAAACCATAGGATATACTCTTTGCTTTACCATTTCGTTCTGCTGAATGATAACATATTTATACTTTGTTACAATCTGCTTATTTTAAATTAAACTTAGTCTGAATATAACCACTATACTTAAAGATAAAAAGCATTTTGGGGACTTTAAGAAATAAAAATTAAAATAAAGTCTCCTTTCTTAAGGGCTTAAAACAAAAATAATTATTTTTAATGGCCTCTTTCTCATTAACGAGTTATAAAAGCAGGAGATGTTTCTTGTTTGTAATGACTCAAATGGAAATTCTGTGAATGTATCTGGATTTCAGCCAGACTTTGTGAGAAAGAGTTCAGGCCCACTATGCAAACTCAAGGCCTGTTCCCTGCAGCACTCCTAGTAACCTCTGCCACAAACAGAATAACCCAGTTGAAATCAAAGGACCATGGGGTCCATGGATCACACTTCCACAGAGAACCACAGAGAACTGAGAACCTCTGGCAGGCTGAATGAGTGCACAGCAAATAAAGAACGTCACGATGCGTGTCCTAGTAAAAACTGCGTCACTCATACACGACTAATAATTCAATGACCTAAATACCATTCCAAGAAACCACTGCCAGGATAACAGTGTTTGTTTTCTGAAGTGTATTTTTGTGGGTTTCTACATGGCTAGGCAAATGGCTGCAATGCATACTCAAAGATAAGACTTTTCTTAGTTTTAATATTAAGTTGGTTTTATTTGCCAAAAGACATTCAAATGTTAAAGAAAAAATACAAGCAAACAAGTCAAAAAGCCTTTGTGAAGGGCAAGCTGATGTATTTTGTAAGACTGCATTTTCTGGCTGTAGCTAGAAATGCAATACAGGTATCTTAGTAAATTTTACATAGTGCTGAAGTTAATCTTCGATATCACCTCTTTAAGATGTGTACAATTTTCCTCTCCAGAGGGAAGTGCTATTAGTTTTTCTTATGCATTCTTCCAAAAAATGTCTATATGTCAATAACGTATAAGTACACATCTTTTTGTACACAAGTAGAATTATTCTTTACCTGTTATAAGGTTAACTATTTGAAGTGATCTCACTACACAAAATTTCAACTAAAAATAAAGTTCATATTTTAATGTTAACAAATATCAAGGAAAGAAGGTGATTTGGTTTTCTCTACAGTTTAAAAAACCTACGAAAATCTTGCAAAAAGTGAAAGAAATGGCTTGGAGCATGTGTGAAATAGAGAACAATAGTGCCATCTATGTTTAATTTGGCAGAACTACATGTAACCTCGGGAAAATCTTTTAACAAGTATGCTTAGAAACTATTTTTGAAGATTACAAAGATCTGTTGCAACTATCCTACAACTTGTTCAAACTTAGCTAAACTACTCCTTCAGTTTATTACTGTGAGCTTAAATGATGACTATTAAAAGGAGCCTATGGCATATCTCCAACAACCCCCTAGATTGAAGATAAATAAGGAACAAAGATACCAGGAAGCTTTTTATGACTCAGGAAGCAAAAAACAGTGAAAGGAAACACTCTGTTCACAGAGGACTTAATTTAATTAAGAAGCATTCAAACTGACTGAGAATAATATATCCTTTTAACATCATAAACCAGAGTATCCAAATAAGAAGATAAAGTGTACTAGAGCTTAGTTTACAATATGAGGGGCTCCGCCACTTATTTGAAAACAATAGAGTAAAGCAGGAAGACAGTAAAAAAAAATAAAATGGTAAATTATGTTTTATGACTCAAACTGATTCTCAATTAATAGAATATTTACACTGTTTCCTAAAATAATTCCAAAGTCTATTCTTTAATTTCTCCTGAGTTGCAAAGTTCTGTCTGAAACACTCTACTTCCAATACCAAATTCATACGCTGACAATTTCTGTAGCACAGTGATGAAGCAAAAAAAGGTATGTGCAGACGTCTGAGATCTAGAGAAGTAAGTTGAATGGGAGCCCTGCAGAGTTGCAGGCCTGACTGGTCACCAGAGTCCCTAACAGGACTGGAATCAACCTGGGAAGGCACTGGTTAGGAGCTACAGATATGAGCACAAAATGCTGTCAAGGTTGAAAAATACAAGTACTGCCTCTCAGTAAAAGCGCGCGTGCACGCGCACACACACACACGCACGCACACACACACACGCACACACATAATTATACACTGACAACACATAATTGAGATACTACAAAAGTGTTCTAAACCAATAATTTGATCAGGTTCTGGACAACATGAGTATAACTGGTAAATGGCAGGTTTACAATAATTATCTTAGAAAATTGATCATAATTTTCACTTGAGTTCTCCAGATTGAGAAATGGTACTAAATTGAAAATAAACACAATTACCACTGCAAACTGTTATGAAACAGGTTTGAGGGAAAAAGAGGAGCAAAACATCAGAAACCTTTTATAGTCAACGAAATTAAAACAATTGAATGCTGTGATTTTAAAACTTTGAGGGAATTATAGGATCCTTCTCTATGCTCTGATAACCACATATAACTCCTATAATTATGATTTTAAGACATATATTTTGGATATGGTATAGAATCAAATCAATATACATTTCATATTATGTTTAGAAAATGACACTGTATTACCACTGGGAGGTCAACAAGTTAGACACATTCCTTCGTCTCAGAAAATCTGTTAGATGTCATATTCTGCCAGCAGTAACTAATTCCAACGAACAAGGATAAAATACCAATTCATATAAAAGCCTAGAAGAGTTAAGATTTCAGGGAGAAAAAAAAAAGGTGACCACAGCCATGTTTTGAAGACTGCTATGATTCTTAGGTAATTACTGAGAAGGCGGGGGTAGAAGGAATAGGGAGATTGCCTGGTAACCTGGTGGAAGAGGCAGAACCAGGACAGATGACTAAGACTGTGAATAATTCTAGGAAATGAAATTTGGATCTATGACTAAACAAAGATAAGACACTGAAGAATTCAAGTAAAGAGAAAACAAGGTCACTGTGACTTTTTTCCAAAAGAAACCTGGTGGGAGTGGGATGAAAAAAGAACTAAGGAGAGAAATGGAGATCAAGAAACAGGGGATTAAACCCCAATGATAGACAGCAACACCTTTTTAAAGAGATAAGGGAGAGACATCACTGAAGACAGAATACATTGAACTTCAAGGTGTGACTTAGGGAATGGTAAGGGGGGTCAGTACAGAAAAAGGAGAGTCCAAGCTAGGATCATGGTTGATGGAAGAGTCGACAATCTCAGCAGGACTCAAGCCTGAACAGATGGCAGAAGGGATGGCAAGACGGCCCAGGACATAGGACTGCAGAGAGGGTGCAGAGAACAGCTCTATCTCCTCCTGCAGCCCAAGGTCAGATACTCCAAACACTGACCACTGGCAAGACAAAGTTATTTGAGCTGTGGTTTCCTCGCCTGTATAATAAGGGGATCACCCACCCAGCAGGAGTGTTACGGAATAGAGAAAATATTTCCAAAACATCTTCCAGACTCGGTGATGCCACCTAGTGTTAATTATGAGACTTCGCATGTAAAGGTAGAACACAAATACAGCAGTTAAAGGATGGAGGTTTTCTTTAGGTTCTGAATGACAGAATATATTATTTAGGTAAAATTTACAAAAGCATACACAGATACAAGCATCTAACCAAAAAAGTTAACAAGAAAGTTTTAAAAAATAAAGAGGAGACTTCTAGTTTCAGCTACAAGTAAAGATTAGAAGCTGTCACTTCTGTCCTTCCAACAAGAAAAAGTTGAAGAAATTGGAAATCAATTACCTTTCTTGAACTAATACTAACAACGTACCGAGTGATTATAGATTATAGAGAAATGAAAGAAATGCCAGTCACACCACAGGAACAGCAGGAGCGACTAGGAAGACTGTGTTGTCAGGTGTCTGCACCCCTGTGAAGCAGCAGTGCCAATAGAAAATGGACTTAGATGAGCTGTAAATGTATACTGGAAACTCTATGACAGCTACTAAAAACATTTTTAAAAGTACAATTATTATGCTAAGTGGAAAGACAAAAGAAAATCATATAAGATGTTCAAATCCAGGGAAGGCAGAAAAAGATGCTGGGAGAAAACAAAGAACAAATGTAACAAACAGAAAACACAGACAAGCATGGTAAAAAGCTCCTCAAATATATCAACATTCAACTTCAAATGTGAATGGACCAAATATATCAATTAAAAGATAGAGACTGTCAGAGTAGATAAAAAACCAAGGCCCAGCAACTATTTACTGTCTACAAGAAAACTACTCTCAGATAGTTTAGAAGTAAAAGGACGAAGAAAAATACACCATGCCTACATGAATTGAAAGCTGGGGTGGCTATATTAACTTCAGACAAAGATGACTTCAGAACAAAGCAGGGACAAAGAGGGGTATTGCATAATGATAAGGGACCAATTCTCCAAGAAGTCATAATAATTCTAAACACATATGTAACTAAGAACATCAAAATATATGA